ATCAGTCGGAGCTCTGATTGCTTACCTTGTCTGTCACCTCTTTCAGCAGACCCCCTAGCTCGGCGACTTGGGGGACTCCTACTACATGGTTTGTATCGCGCTTGACCAAGCCTGAAACTACAAGTAAGCTTCAAGTGAAATTGATACATTACCTTGTGCATCTCCACCAGTTAAAGATACCACCCCCTGGATGGAGGAAGAGTACTTCCAGAGAAGATGCCACATCTACCTATGAGACAGATAAGGCAAGTCAAGACGACACCACACTCCGATACTTAGAAGTTTCGTGATTACGAGATCATTCTCCCACAATATTTCCTAATGTCATTTGTACTAAATCATTCACTTGTACTCACTAAAGGAGAGCTTGAACCTATGTACTTGTGTAAACCCTTCACAATTAATGAGAACTCTTCTATTCCGTGGACGTAGCCAATCTGGGTGAACCACGTACATCTTGTGTTTGCTTTCCTATCTCTATCCATTTATATACTTATCCACACTAATGACCGGAGCAATCTAGCGAAGATCACAAAAAGCGACTGTTTTCGCTACCTAGGATCTATCTTGCAAGAGAACGGAGAATTAGATGGAGATCTCAACCATAGAATACGAGCTGGATGGATGAAGTGTAAGAATGCATCTGGCGTGTTGTGTGACCGTCGTAGGCCACTGAAGCTCAAGGGAAAATTTTATAGGACGGCAATAAGGCCAGCGATGTTGTATGGCACAGAATGTTGGGCGGTGAAGCATCAACACGTACACAAAAATGGGTGTAGCGGAGATGAGGATGCTTCGTGGGATGTGTGGGCACACGAGAAAGGATAAGATTGGGAATGAGGATATCCGAGGTAAAGTAGGAGTAGCCGAAATTGTAGGAAAGATGAGAGAAAATCGGCTCCGGTGATTTGGACATGTGCAAAGAAGGCCGACTGACGCTCCGGTTCGAAGATGTGACTAAGGGACAGAGGTTCAGGGCCGAAGGGGTAGAGGAAGACCTAGGAAAACTTTGGAAGAGACTCTAAGAAAAGACTTAGAGTACTTGGATCTAACGGAGGACATGACACAAAACCGAGCGCAATGGCATTCTAAGATTCATATAGCCGACCCCACTTAGTGGGAAAAGGCTTTGTTGTTGTTGTTGTTGTTGTTGTACAAATGTTAACTTAATCTTTTGTTCTCTATGAAGTTTGAAGAGATTTTTTCACAGCAAGGCCGATGCTTTCCTTTCAAATGACTACTATGACTCGGATATAGCTTGGATGGAGTTGGTTTGTAGAGTATTTAATATACCATTTACAATCATGAATCTGCTCAGTATTTCAGTTATATGATGTTGGTTCTTAGTTATTCGTTCCTATAAACAATTATTTTCATCAGCTAGTTTATTAATGTCGAAGTTGCTATCAATCAGCTTAATTCTTTAACACAATATGGTCTTATTATTGATTTCAATGTAATTTAACAACAATATCTAGTTTTCTGAAGTTGTATTGCCTGGATGTAAGTGGTGTTACTTCATATGAAATGGAATTCCCTATTTTATTGCCTGTTGACTATTATTTTTTTCAGCAATGACCACAATTTTCTTTTTTAATATAATGTAAACAGCAATACATTAAATGCGAAACCAGCTGTCCACTGGAGGTACTAACGGCAAATCTTGGCTCTATCCACTAGAAATATGTTTCCACCCCACACTTGCATTCAAATGTTCAACCATTCTTTCCCTCTTAAATGACCCAAAAAATTGCCAACAGACTACAACTTTACAGAACTGTAGCTTTTTACCACCACCAAAAGCACAATGTTTCTCACTAAATAGTGAAACACAAGACTGAAGTTACCAAACTCAACCATGATTCTCGCAACAAACTGTACCATAGTCTCAAGCAGATGAGACAGTGAAAGAATGGAAGCTTTCTAGTTTTCCTCTTGTTATTTGCTTATTGTCTGTAAATTCTTCAGAGCATAAACTGCTGAACCAGCCTTTGTTTCTATCTACTCTTCTGTTGTAGGACTCTAAGCTGGATGTTACTATTGGGCCATATGAAACATATGAAGATGCTCTTTTTGGATACAAGGTATTTTTTATATGGACCACCCTTGTGTTTTGAGCTTCTACATTTATGACTTTGAATTTTGAAATGTGATCAAACGGATATACTGCAAATACAATTATATTGAATTAAATTTCTTCTGTTTCTTAAAGTTTTTATAATGTTCATTTTCTTGCATATGGAGTCATGGACATTTTTTTTCTGAAAGGAACCTATTTGGGAATTTAAGTGATGTAGCATGGTAGTAAATTTTAGATGTTATTGAACTACCTTTTATTTTGGGCTACTTTTGAAGCATTTGTTGGAGTTCGAGATGAAAAAGCAACTGCTCAAGTAAAACTTTTTGGTGACAATTTGCAGGTACTATTGTACAAACGTTTTCTACCAGAGATGCAATATCTTACCAAATAAAAAAATGATCCTGACAACTTTGTTATTCCTTCTAATTATCCGTTACCTTATTTTTATAAGGTTTTGGAACAAAATCTGCCACTGGATAATGTCTGCAAGTTCAGAGATGTGATATATGCTCCTATTCAAGTCATCGATCTTATTTATAATGCAGGAGAATCTTTCAAGATGTTCTATTTTATGGCTACATGCAATTTTTTCATCACAGGCACAATGATCGGGATTATAGTTTTCCTTGCTTCTAACCCTCTACTGTTGAAGAAAATAGTCAATGAAAAATAGTGTTTGGAGGGTAGAAAATGAAAATGTATACTTCTCATATTTAGGTTTGAGTTTGACATACCAATCACAAGTTAGTAGTGGGTTGGGTTTACTAAAATAGTTTTCTTCTTAGTTATAAAGTCAGTCCATGGAGGTCAGAGTCTTCTTGACCTATGTTTAACAATATATATGCAAATTGATCTGGTTGATGAAGTGACATTGACAACTTTCAAGTTTTACCTTAGGATGTCAAGGGTCCTCAAACTGCTGCATTTAATCTACCAAATGACGAGCGTATAGTAAAAGATCGAGGAACATCAATGGTCATGCTTAAGAATATCTCAGAGGCTAAGTAAAACTCTCCTTCCCTCAGATTAATATCCATTATTGCTTTTCCAAATTTTGATCTGTTCATAATGTGAACTACCTTTGCTAAATCAGGCTCAAGCACATTCTTCAGCCTATAGCTGATGTTTGTATTACAAAGGAACAACAGGAACTTGTAGATTTTGAATCTTTCTTCACTCACACAATTTGCCATGAGTGCTGCCATGGGATTAGACCTCATAGCATAACACTTCCAGATGGTAGAAAGTCAACAGTGAGATTGGTCAGTGACATCAGTATAAGTTATCTAATTTTTCTTGTTCACTATATATTAGTTTGACAACCTTTGTGAATTGCTTCGCTGCTAATAGTAAACTAAACAATTCTTCAAAATAAGGTTCAAGATATCTAGCAGAACAGAAAGTTTAATAAACTTGGATCGTCAATTTGATAGCAATTGTTGCTGGTCAATGAACATTGAAATTTGAAGTTGATTTCATAACTCTATCTTACTACAGACAGAACCTAAACATATTTGAGATTACTGCAACACTTTGTTAAAGTCCAGTTGATAACCAGAACAGGTATCTGGCTTTCAGCATCTTTGAAACTTGTTTCCTTGCAAAATCCTATTTGGTTGCCTAAATTTAGTTTGCTTAAAACATCTATATTTTACAGTCAGTCTTATTGAAGATTATATTCGAAGTTCTTGCGCTTCTTGGTTTACCTCTAATGTCATTTTAAACAGTTTAAGAAAAAGCAATAAAAAAGAAGGAAATTTTTGAAGGTTAAGTACATCAAGTGTGCACTGTTTTCTTAATGTCAAATCTGATTTTCCATGTGTTTTCATCTCTTGACAAAGGAACTGCAAGAACTCCACTCAACTCTGGAAGAAGCAAAAGCTGATATAGTTGGCCTTTGGGCTTGAAGTTCCTAATCGACAAGGTGAGTGGCTATTTATTTGGTTGAGATTGCTTTCCTTCACTTTATCTCATTAGTGGGATAGTTTGGTTTACACTTTTTTTTTTTTTTTGTTTACAAATTTGCATCTTTCATTTGTTTTAATTATGTTATCATTGAGATGATGCTGGACTTCTTGTTGATCGATCGAGTCTTTTTACCTTTCTTTTAATAATTATTAATGAAATTTTGTTTCTTGTAAGTTGTGTTACTGACACTGGTATTCATATAGTAATGGCATACAAGCAGTGTTCTAGTGCTTATACTAAATGAAGTTCCATGTCTCTTTTCTTGCTGGTTCCAGGACTTACTTTCAAAGAGTTTATTGAAGTCTATGTATGTTTCTTTTCTTGCTGGATGCTTCCGCTCAGTACGGTTTGGTCTTGAAGAAGCTCATGGGTAAGCTAGTAATTCATCCTTCTCAAGTCCACTTTTTCACTTGTCAGCGGGCATTGCTATAGTAACCATCCAGCATGTTTGGCCTCCAAAGTATCTTATACTTTATAATTGCAGAAAAGGACAAGCTTTGCAATTTAATTGGTTGTATGTGCAAGGAGCCTTATTAAATCTCTGTCACGAGATGACTTTTTTTTTTTATTTCCTTAATTGATACTCTACTAATTTCGTCAATTGTTTTGTTTGCTAGTCACTTAATATTATGGTTTAGTGATATTCTTATTTATTTGTAAATAAGAGGTTTTAGATTCGATTCTCACTAAAGACAAATTTGAACTACATTATTGCTAGCTCATTATGAGGTTAAACCCAACCCCATCCCCCTTTATGCATTTTATGTGAATAAAAAACTTACATATGATAATACACTATTAAATTAAAAATGTCACGTGACGGTAAATTCTAAAGTAACATTTATTGTAAAATTTTAACTAGAATTGAATAAAAATAATATGTGTCAATTAATTAAATATATGTTAGACATATACTATAATTATGGTGGTGAGCAAAATGTTCTCGTGGAAAAAGGCCACACGTGGTTTCACGTATACGTCGATCTCACCAATACGGCAAATTAGGTATGACCCTTCGCCAGACCAACCAGTAGAGACCCGCGCGCACGCGAGAGATAGAGCGACTATAGAGTCAGTCAGGGAATGCTCAGCGCGTCGGTGCCCGCACCCACACCGTGTTCTCTACCCGCTTCGCCTCCCCACCCTCGCTCCAACCACATCGCCGCGCGCGCTTCCATGGCCTCCGCCGCAGCTCGCAGCTCGGCTCGTATAGCAGTCGTCGGCGACGTCGTAAGTCTCTCTCTCCCTCACTCTCTGTGAATTTCCGAAACCATGGCGGGTTGATTAAATTAAATTTCGTTTTGTATTTCTCTAAATTTTCAATTTTTTTGTTTTGGGTTTTGTGAAGCATGATCAGTGGAATCTAGAAGAAGATACGAAAGCACTTGAACTGCTGCAGGTATTTACATTGTCCCCCTCTTCAGTATTTTCTTCAACTTAAAAAAAAAAAAAAAAAAAAAAGAGAAAGTTAAAATCTTTGTTTATTTGGGATTATATAAATTTGTGTTAAATATTAGAAACCCTTTTGCCCGAATTTTATGTTTCTAATTCGGGACCGGATTATACATATTTTCCCGATTATATTGAAAAATTGTATGTCCTACCAAGAAATCTAATAAAAGTTTGTAACTTTATATCGAAATGCAGCCGGATTTGGTTCTTTTTACAGGCAGGTTTCATTCTCCCTGACTATTTCGTCTACCATATGTTTTTCGGTGCTTCCCGATTGGTGAGCTGAGTAACTAGTAACTTTGGCTGTTTGATAAATTCATGACATGTCCCTAAGTGTTGTAATTGTGCGGATAAATTTGTTATCACAATATAGCTAAACCGAGTTTAGACACATAAAGCCATGTGTGGTCATTTTTACGCCGTGGCTGCTGAGTTTTATTTGTTTTGTGAAATCTGTAGTTTACCTTCCTCTGTCTATTTTGGCCTTTCCCTTTCCTCCATTTTGTTCAGGTGATTTTGGTGAAGAGAACGTTGAACTCGTTAAGAGCGTTGCAAATCTCGATTTTGCTAAAGCAGTTATTTTGGGAAACCATGATGCCTGGCATACAACACAGTTTTCTGGAAAGTAAGTTGTTTCTGTTTTTTTTCTTCTATTTTTCTTAATTATTCCTTATGCTTAAAGTTAAGGGTTCTTCAGACACACTGCTTGGTATTCAGTTCGACATGTAACTATCAATACGGTTAGTTTTGAATGTATTTCAACTGTCTCCATCCGCCCCACCCTAAATTGTGCAGTGCATACGTGCCCTTGTGTGATCAAGTGTGTTGATGTAATGCTGATTCTTAGTCCACGATAATGTGGTTAATTTACTATTTGATTTCAAATATCAGGAAAAAAGACGGCGTTCAACTTCAGCTAGAATGGTGAGTTTGTCTTATCTTAATGATTGTCAAACATTCTGAAATTGCTATATCTGTGGCATTTTTGCGTACCCATTATTACTTAATGTTCCATTGAAATATGATATCTTTACTGTTCTAGATGTCATTCTTACATAATATGCTTGTAATATTCAGTCTCGGTGAGGAGCATGTAGGTTATCGGTGTTTGGACTATCCTACATTGAAGCTGAGCGTTGTTGGTGGACGACCTTTTTCTGGTGGGGGAAAGAAGTTATTTCGACAAAAGCTCCTGTCTACAAGGTGTGTAATGTTTCGAGCAGTTCTTGATGAAACATGAAACGAGAATTTTATTGATTTGTTTGCTTTCTTATTCAAAAAACAAAAAATATAGTTGGCCCCAATACAAAGTAGTATCCAAGAATTTTGTACTCGTTTTTTTTGATACTATGCATGAATCACATTTATCATGCAAATTCTTCGGAGAAAGTGTTTTCCACAATAGTGGCTTAAATTCTGACTTAATGTGCTGAAACATCGACCACTTAGGTTTGGGGTCCAAGACATGGATGGAAGTGCTAAGAGAATATGCAAAGCAGCTTCAGGCGCTCCGGACGATCATTTGGTCATATTTCTTGCACATAATGGACCCACAGGTTTATCAGTCTGCTGAAACAAATCATAATCGGGCTTTTGGAGCCAAACTTGTCACTTCATTTAAATGCAGATTTTTGAGTTCACTCCTTGTGCAGGTCTTGGTTCTAACATGGATGACATATGTGGAAAAGATTGGGTGTTTGGAGGTGGAGATCATGGTGACCCAGGTAATCTGATTCGAACCTCTTCACTCAATCACTGAAATGGCTTTTGTTATGTTTTTAAACATAGTGACACATAATCGATGTGACTTTCCTACTCGGCCTTTTGGGTTGCTGCATGTTACTCATGACTTGATGAATCTAAGAGGCGTGTCATTCAGGTGGTTTGTTCATTTAAGTCGAGATTTAATAAC